GTTTTTTCTTTCAGTTTATTTATATGATGGATTACATTGATAGATTTGCATATGTTGAACCAGCCCTCCATCCTTAGAATGAAGCCCACCTGATCATAATGGATAATTTTTCTAATGTGTTCTTGGATTTGGTTTGCCAGGATTTTGTTGAGAATTTTTGCGTCGATGTTCATGAGTGAGATTGGCCTGTAATTCTCTTTCTTGGGTTTTTTTTGTGTGTGTGGTTTTGGTTATGGTCACTGTAGCTTCATAGAAAGAGTTTGGCAATGACTCTTCTGTTTCTATATTGTGAAATATCTTAAGGAGTATAGGTATTAGCTCTTCATGGAACATTCATAGGAATATCGTTCTTTAGGTTGGAAAGTTTTCTTCTATAATTTTGTTGAATATATTTTCTGGGCCTTTGATCTGCAATTCTTCTTCTTCAATCCCTATAATTCTTAGATTTGGTTTTTTTTTATTGTGTCCCAGATTTCTTGAATGTTTTGTGAATAGAATTTGTTGGATTTGCCGTTTTCTTTGATCAGAGCGTTTATTTTCTCTATGGTATCTTCAGAATCTGAGATTCATTCTTCAGTCTCTTGAATTCTATTGGTTATGCTTGATTCTGTAGTCTCCGTTCCTTTACCTAGGTTTTCCATATCCAGCCAGCCCTGGGTTTTTGTTTTCTTCATTGCCTCCATTTCAGTTTTCAATTCTTGAACTGTTTCCTTTACCTGTTTGATTGTTTTTTCTTGGTTTCCCAGGGTATCATTTATGGATTTACTCATTTCTTCAAACTGTTTGTTATACTTCTCATCCATTTCTTTACTCATTTCTTCAAACTTTTTGTTATACTTCTCATCCAGTTCTTTAAGGGAGTTATTCATATCCTGTTTAAGGGACTCTAATGCTTTCATAATGGCACTTTTTTTCCACTTCTTCTGGATTAAGGTGTTCAAGTCCTTCTATTGTAGGGTCGTTGGGATCTGGTGTTTTCGTGTTGTTTTTCAGATTGTTGGAGGAGGTCTTGCCTTAGCATCTGCCCATCTCTTCCTTCAAATGCTCTCTATTGGATCTTCTGGTACCGGGTCAGGTTCCCTTGTTGGGCAGGAACTTCACTGACAGAAGGCCTACTACTGTCAGGCAGACTACTGAAACACAGGCACTCCTCAACTCTTCCTCACCCGGCTCCTGCTGCCGGCCAGAAGCAAACTCACCCCTCCGATGGCTGTCTGCTAGAAGTCGGTGCCCCTTGCTGGTCAGGAATGCCGCTGAGCTGACACAGGGCCCACCTCTCCTCAGGCAGGCTTTTAAAACACAGGAGCTGCCTCCTGGCGAGATGCGCCTGCAGCCCAGCGCACAAGGCAGCTGAGCTGGGGAAATTTTATGGCCCCAGGGGGAAGGGAGAAATATAGGAAGGTGTGCCTGGATGGAAGCTGGGATGGCAGGCAGGAGAACTTAGCAGGGTGGACCCACCACTGCAGGGTGCCCTGAGAGTCTAGGGTGTCGGGGAAAGCCTGAACTCTTCCTCGCTTGGCTCCTGCTTTGGGCCAGAAGCAAACTTACCCCTCCGATGGCTGTCTGCTAGAAATTGGTGCTCCTTGTCGCTGAGCTGACACAGCTCTTTGATTGTTTAAATGTTTCCATGTGACTCTTTTGGGAAACAGCTCAAATGGTCATAAATCAGTTCCAGGACTGCAAACTTTATGAGGTAACAAGAGATCTTCAGTTGGGACTCTTTCTCCCTCATTGTTTGAAGACTTCACATTATGAATACAGATGTTTCCTCTGTGCTAGGCTTCCATATTGCCCCTCAAATGTTGCTTAGTTCTAGCTGTCTTTCTCCTCATCTCCCCACAGTCTCATCTCCCCTCCCTTTCCCACCTGACCTTCCCATTCTCCCCCATGCCCTGGTCCCAGTCCATAAAATCTATACTATTTCTTCCTTTCAGAGAGATCCATGTGCCCACTCCCCATTCACTTCCTCTATGTCTAACCTTTCTGGGTTATAGATTATAGACAAGCATTTTTTATAAAATACTTTTGGCAAGGCAAGTGCTAAAAACACTAAAATAGAAGTGATACAGGCGTACAAAGGATTGTCATACTTTTAAGTTTATATTCAGAACTAGGGTATTTATGCATTACTTATAAGAAAGGTTGGAGCAGAGGCACAAAAGATAGCTCAGGGAGTAAATGTGCAGGCTGCACATAAATAGAAAACAAGAACCCCAGAACTCACATAATAGGAGAGAGAACCAACTTGACATAATTTTCCTATGACCTCCCAAAATGTACAGTAATCACTTGTACCAAATCATGCCTGTCATGAACACACACACACACACACACACACACACACATCGTTAAAGGATGAAATCTAACCATTGGCATGTAAAGAGACGCTTGTGCTCCCGTAAGACCTGCCCGTTCAGAAGTTCTATAGTTGTTTGTGGTAATAAAATAAAATAAACTTACTGGAGGTAATTCAGACCTGAGGCAATGGGCATATAAAAGTCATATCAAGAAAACAGGCCAAAGGACTTAATGAACACATCAGACCAAGTACTATGTACAGCATTGTCATGGGGGTCCCATAAGAAAAGAAAGCACTTAGCATTGCAATGGTGCTTGTACCCCACACCTGTTATTATACCATCAGGTGTACATTAAAGCCCGACAGCAAGCGAAAGGGCTCCAGTCCCCACAATATTTACTTTTAATAATTTTAAATTCACTTTTTTTGAAACAGCCTGTTCTTACTAAATTACAGAATACCAGTGCTGCTTAAAGAAAAATATGCCAACACAAAAATATCCTCTTTGAACATGAATAAAATGAAAAATATGAGAAATAAACTAATTCATTAATTAAAAATATGGTTAATATTACTCATTCATGAAAAGCTATTTAAACATGAGATCATATTATACTGTTTAATGTTTATGAGCTTATGAAATATGTATTCATAAGAACCTGAATGTATCATGTGTGGTAGCATGTATCACACATGGATCATTTTCTTTTTCTCATTTAAGTAACATTCATATCTTGTTTCATCTTAAAAATATTATTTTATTTTTTTATATTTTCTTGATCTTTCACTTATCTGATTGACTATACTTATAAAAATAAGGACAATGAATATAATACTGCCTTTTGAGTTATTCTAGTCATGAAATAATTACTCAATATATATATATATATATAGATAGATAGATAAATACATATATACATACACATATATATGTGTATGTGTTGATGTAGAATTTCTCTGTGTAGCCTTGGCTACCCTGGAATCACTCTGTGGACCAAGCTTGCCTTGAATGCATAAGTATCTGCATCCCAATGTCTCCAAGTAGTGGGATTAAAGTCTTGTGCCACCACTGTTGAGGAGCATTAGATATTCGATCAATCATAAAGGTATGTTTTTTCTTTTCTTTTCTTTTCTTTTCTTTAGTTATTAAACGTTATTGAGCTCTTCATTTTTCTCTGACCCCCCCGCCTTTCCCCTCTCCCCTTCAACCTTCCCCCAAGGTCCCCATGCTCCCAATTTACTCAGGAGATCTTGCCTTTTTCTACCCTTCATGTAGATTAGATTTATGTAAATTGCTCTTAGTGTCCTCATTGTTGCCTAAATTCTCTGGGATTGTGGTTTGTACGCTGGTTTTCTTTTCTTTAAGTTTAAATATCACCTATGAGTGAGAACATGTGATAATTGTCTTTCAGTGTCTGGGTTACCTCACCCAAAATAATGTTTTCTAGCTCCATCCATTTTCCTGCAAATTTCAAAATGTCATTTTTTTCTGTACTGTAGTACTCCATTGTGTAAATGTACCACATTTTCTTTATCCATTCTTCAGTCAAGGGGTATTTAGGTTGTCTCCAGATTCTGGCTATGAAAAACAATGCTGCTATGAACATATTTGAGCAAATATCCTTGTGGCATGATTTAGCATCCTTTGGATATATACCCAAAAGGTGTGATCTCCAAATTATGCAAAGATCAAGAAATTGGTCATCAAAAGTACACACAATCCAATAAAAAATGGAGTACAGACTTAAACAGAGAATTCTTAACAGAGGAATAAAAAATGGCTGAAAGACACTTAAGGAAATGTTCATCATCCTTAGTCGACAGATAAATGAAAATTAAAACAACTCTGAGATTCCATCTTACACCTGTATAAATGGCCAAGATCAAAAACAGTGATGACAACTTATGCTGGAGAGGTTTTGGGTAAAAGGGAACACTTCAGCATTACTGCTGGGAATGCAAGCTGGTACAGTCCCTTTGGATATCAGTGTGGCAATATCTCAGAAAATTATAAAACAACCTTTGGCAAAGATACTTTAAATATCCACTAAGTCACAGAATCTGTCATAGGATAAAATAATGGAAAAGATTACAAACTTAAGTTGTAACCAGAATAAAGGTGAGACATACATTATCATTTTTAATTATATAATATGGCTGATTCTTGAGAAATTCTGTACTTTTAGTGAAAAGTCAATATTTAGAATCAAAGTTTCATAAATATTATAAAAAGGTGGATTCGTTCCTCTGCTTTCTTTAAAAGCAGTCATGTTGTATGCTTTCACTACCATAATCGAGGGCAGCACTGCTTGTCTCCGGAACTAATTTTTATATATTCTCAAAGCATTGTAAAACATCATAGTCAATTGCTTTATATATCATATTTAGTTGCTTCAGAATGGGATAGCTCCTTAATGAATATAATTCAAGTAGATATGAAAGCAAAGGCTGTAAAAAATGCTTGAAGGTGGATTATTCTTTTTAAATAGACAAAAATGACAAAGGATGAATAAAAATATGGTCAGAGATGCATAATGACAGCTCAAGTACCTTCGCCCACGGTGAAGGGAAATTTCATGGAGGGAAAAATCAAAATGCATTGCTTATCTTCCTCTTAAAATGGAAATCTGGGAGCCAGAATGAGAATGGCCCTTGCAGTCATGGCTTAATACACTGAATAATGACATTGCTTTTATGGCAGGAACTTGACTGAGATGAGAAACTGAATGAGGACTCGGTGGGAAGTAACTGCACTTCCCTGTAGCTGATGAACTTCAGAACTGAGGTAAGTTGAGGAAGAAATGGAAATCAGGCATCCTCCTGTCTCTGTAGTGAGCACTCACACTGGCCGTGTAATAGATATTGATGTCTGCCCACAGAGATGAGTGGCTGAAGAAGAAAAGAGCCATTTTCGAGCTCATCTTGATTCCATATTATTCTCCTCCTTACTGGTTCTTGAAAGCTGATGAAATGACTCAGGAGTGGCATTACCTCCTAACGTATCTAATTGGGTAAATGGTGGTAGGTCACGGTTCCCACTGCTGGAGAGATGCTTAGAGTTACATCATATTTTTTGTTTAAGGGAGTTTTATGATACTCACTGAATTGTGTTATTTTTGAAAAGCTGGGATAATAATGCTTTTATCCCTATTTCTTTAGACATGTATTGGCACTTCTAGCAGTGTATCAAAACCCTATCAAAGTCCATTATCAGGGAAAACCCACAGGATAAAACCAACCTTAATATAACAAGGAAAAAAATAATCTTTTCCATGGTCATTATCTAGGGCTGTCATTCTTTAAGATAAGACCATACATTCACTAAATAATTTATTTTTTCCATGTATGATTCTGTAATTCTAAATACTTGTGGTCTTTATGATAATCGTAGAAGTACTGCACATAATATATTTAAAAGTCTATAGGTAAATACTATGTTAGAAACTAAAAAAAAATAATAATTCCTGCATCTGTCAGAGAAGTGAGGTCACAGGATAAAATGATGTTCACAAAATTTCAGATGCCATGAGAATAACAGAGTCACTGCTTACTAGTGGATTATACAAGCAAAACTTCCCTTTGGAAACTGCCCCTGGGTTAGGGAAATTTCAGTTTTCAATGATGAATTTCTGGAAATGAAGAATGGGAAAATCGGATAGATCAAACCTGAAGGTTTCATATATAACAGGATTCATGTCTTTCACAGTTTCCCATCAGGAATCTCCTCAGAAGGTGAGGATTATGACAGCAGTAGTAAAATGTGGCGCGGGACACTGCCTTTCCCTTTCTTCTATTTTCCTAAATATAATGTGACTGCATCAGAAGTTTTACTACCTACGGAGTCCCAGTTCAATCAGGTGTTACAGGTACACAATAAACAATGGCTAAGTCACAGTTATCAACATTGCCTTCTCCTTAAATATTATTTAAAATTTTATCTACTACTTAAATTGTTCCACATATTTATGAGGTATTAACTTCTGTTTGGAAATATGAAGAGTGCCTGCTGCTAGTCTCAGGATATTTAACTTTCTGACCTCTCTTTTATGACATTCTAGGTATAGTCCTGGAGTGTCTGTCTTTCATTATTTATTTAGCAGCATAGTCAACCAATGTGAACCACTGCATCCCCACCATGCTGTACAAAATAGCGCCTTATTAGTTTTGCCTTACTATTTTTCTCTTTGGGAAATAAGCTCCTTTTCCTCTGCATTCCAAACACTTTTAACTTTACATAAACGTTTTAGTTTTTCACATATCAGAAATCGTATATTTGTAATGATGTGTATATGGCAATATCAACTGAACAGCATATCCCCCAGTGCTCTCATTTTGCTATACAAGATAAGACTTCATTTCTTCAATTGCTGGGTTGTACTGCCTTCTATGTAAATGATTTTATGTGTTCAATGTCTTGGTAGTTGATATCTACCCAACTTGGTTATTTTTGCTATCATAAATGATGCTGAGGTAAATGAAAGAGTGATGCTAAAATTTCGATATTTTTAGTTCATCATGACAGAATATGTTATTAATAGTAGGAAAGCTGGACCACATGCTGTATTAAGTCTGTATTCAAAGAACGTCCATGTTTTTGTTTTTGTTTAATTTCATTTTGTGAGAGCTGTACTAACTGGCTATTCTATAACAGGATAGAAGTGTTTCCTTCTCCCTACAGCTTCAATAATATACACAATGACTTTAATGTTTTCTTTAATCTTTCATATCAGCTACTGTAACTGGGGTGTGACACTTTGTTTTTAGTTAAACTTTTCTGAAATTGTTTTTTTTTTTAAGTCAAGTCCTGGCTTCTTTTTATTAAGAATTTTTTAATACAATCTTTTCTCATTTTACATAGCTATCCAGTTCCCACTCCCTCCCTTCCTCCAGTTCTACCATTCCCTCCACCCATATCTTGCTTAGTCTAGATAGTGCAGGAAGGGCCTTAGTTTTGACTGGAAGTGAAGTATCAGACTTTGATGAATCCCCATGGGAATCCTTACACTTTCTGAGGAGTGGATGGCCCTTGCTTTTCTTAACAACAGTCCTCAGAAGAGATCATTTATCTGGCTCTACAAGTTTGAAGCTGTATCTATATTATCTGAGAAAAATACCATAGTATCCAATCTAAGCTATTAGAGAAGCAGGAAATGAAGATTCCAGCTGTAATAAAAATTTATCTCGAGAACTTCCATTTAGGCATGCTGTTCCACTTAAAGGGTGTAACAAACAAACATTTAAAAGGGACAAGTCTAAAATTCATATCTGAGGATCACAGCCTCACCAAAGTTCTGAGACGTAGCCATGACTTAACAGTAAAGTGTCCTGCTTTTGACATTTTGCAGTTAATATCTTATTTGATAATGACTCGGTAGGTAAAAGTGCTTGTGGTACTCATTTCCTGAGTTTGAATTCCAGAAACCATGTGGGAGAAAGACAGAAATCACTCCTGTAAGTTGTGTACTGATTTCTGTAAGACACAGAGATCCCTGAAGGAAATGATAGAAAAAAATAGAAATAACTGATTAAACAAAATTGTTTTCAGTAAGTGAATAGAGAGTGGCTGTCACAGCATTGCTACTACAGGAGAGGCAAAGCTTACAAACTGATGTGAACATCTGTATCCTGTGGCATTTGTTAGAAAAAAATCAGGAATTTATTAAATTTATAATGAGTATTCCGATGTCCTTGAAGAAAATTAGAGAACAATAAATGACATTTGAAATGAAATCAAACAGATAAGATCTATGTAAAAGTATTTAACAGTAATGATAGCAAACAGTCGGTTTAAAAGATATAATAACAGCTGTACACATCATAGAGATTATTTCTCAATAACCTTAGTACATGTTTCCTCACTTTTTCATGTAAGATAATGTCATATATTATCTATAATACTGTGATTGATACACTTATGATACTAATAATTATCTATCAACAGACTAAAATAACATGAGCATATCATTTGAATAGATCCTGAGTTATGGATCTGTGTATTAAGTGCATCCTGAGTTACGTCTTTTAATGAAAATAGTAAGCCTATACCAGATACTTCAAATTTATGAATTACAGTTAAAACAGTTCTAACTATTAAGTATTTTTTATAAAAATAACTCCTTGAATTGACTGGAATACAAACTGTTATACTAAGTTGTATTCTCATTATAGGTATATCCTACAAATTCTGTATTTTGATTACATTGGCTAAAATATCCTCCTACATAGAACTATGCCCCAATGAAGGACCAAAATAAAACTTCTAAATCTCAAAATTGCTACAAGATAGTACATGACAATTATATTTAATCACATGCAATTTAGAATAAGCTTCCTCTACTGAATTTCATAAAGCACATAGCTTCAGTTTATTGTAGTCATTTGAATAATCTCTCCTTTGCCCCTTGATATAAAACAACAGCTCTTATGCAAAGAATATACATTGAAAAATGAGAAAAATTAATATTAAACGTATTGCACCACAATTTCAGGATTGCATAGAAAAGAGTTGTCATGGTATATATGTTTTTAGAACAAATAAAACATGTTAGAAATAATCATTTCATCCACCTGTTATAACATGTCAAGCTCATACTAATGAAATTTTAGTATAAAATGAATTGTATTGCAGTCCACAATTGAAATTCTATATAATAATCCAAATGCTCCTGAGAGAGAGGAAGGAGAAGCTGCAGTGTTAGGCCAACCTAAGCAACACTTAGGACATCCTCTAATTCATAGCAAACTACAGTATCAAAAGAACAAGAAGAAAAGAATGAGATCAAGAAGAGAAAGAAAAGGGCACAAGAAATTACTGAAATTGAAAATGATTGAATATAGTAAATTTTAAGATCGTTTTTATTATAGTTCATATAATCAAATATTTTATTTGTGGAACATTAAACATTAATAACTGAGTAAGTAAACAGTCTTACATGACTAACAAGTTGCATTCATTTCTTAAGCTTTCTTTTTTTTGACTATTTGAGACAAGGTTTCTTTGGTTTGCTTTGGAACTCTTGTAGACCAGGCTACCAGGCTTGCACTGAACTCACAGAGATCCCCCTGCCTCTGCCTCCTGGGTTCTGGGATTAAAGGTGTGCACCACCACTGCCTGAATTTATTTCTTAAGTTTGAAACGTATTTTTTTGTTGTATAGATACCCACAAACTGGATATTTAGAAGCTTTGTCATATAACTAAATATGTGAAAATATACTTACCATAAAATACTCATTTAGTATAACTCATGGTACTAAAATTCATGTACTAAAAGATTCTTATTGTTTAAAGAACAAGCAATAGAATCAAAGTTCTGTACACGTTTTGTGGGTTTTTTAGTTTGTTTGTTTTTAATGGGAGAGAGATTTTTCCATTTAATGAGTCTTAAATCTAAATTTAAATTTCATATCTTGGAATTGTGGTCTGTGAAGTTGTCTCAATAAACTCAATTCTTTGGATGAAAATTATCTTTGTCTGTATGAGAGAAACTGTGGCCATAATGTGTATGGTTTCCAGGCTTACATTAAAAGTACCAATATGAAAACAGCAGGGACACAAGAGCATCTCTGTTACTGTGAGAAGCAGATAAGAGGGAACTTAACATATACTCCTCACTATTTGTCACCTCTAGTGACATATACCGTCATCACTCAGAGACTCTGGACAGGGAAAGTCACATAAACATGATTAACTATAAGGAGCAAAAGAGGCTGTGATCAGAATGCAAACACTGACTTGGAGAATTGCTAAAATTGTAACATAGACAAAAAAGGGAAAATAAGGTTAA